TATATATATATGTAAAATTATTTTAGATTTTCAACCCAATGTTTTATCATTTAATTTTATTTATTACAAAGTTTTGGTTATCAGTATTGAGTATTATATTTCATTATTCAATACCTTCATTATTGTTTATCATAACATACACCATTTTTTTGTGAATCTAATGGAAAGAAAATTATATTATATTATTAAATATAAATCTAATAATAAAATCATTTTCAGTAAAACAAAGCAATAATAACACGTGCGTAGCATCTGCATAATCCTAGTACATACAAGTATCCATCAAAATAACACAGGTCGAAAATAACTGTCAATGAACAATAGTTAGGGGCATAGGTTTTGTTCAATCGAAACGAAATTTTAAAATCTAAAATATAACATCCCTATTTGCTAAACCATGTATGGAATCAGAAAATTACTTAATTTCATCTGTTGTCAAATTCCCAATTCAATATCAACAGAAAAGGGAAACTATGAAAAAAAAATCCATATGGACATACATGACCTTCTATAAAAATGAATATTAAGAGCAAATTAGAGTGTCATCATAGTCATAGATCTATCTACCAAGATTTGTCATCTCAATCTATCATCAAAGAAACATAATGAAAAGATCTGATATCAAAACCATTATTAAGACTATTAATAACAATAAACTAAAATTAGTAATTACCTATTACTCAGTGGCTAGGCTTTGGTGCCTTGCGAACAGTGGCGTGCAGATTGTATGGGCTCTTGAGGCGGCGGCCTGAGCAACAATTGCAAATAGAGGCGTCGGCTTTCTTAATTACTTTAACCTAGCAAAATCGATAAGTTTTATACAGTCCTATCAGAATCCTCTGTACAATGGTGCAGTAGACCAAATCAATGACACCCTATAGAAATGCAATAAAGTCAAAATTACTCAAATAAGCATCAAATCCCTTGTAATCTCAACATAAAGAATTACATCAAAACACGTTTTGGAAAAAAGCGCATTCAAGAGTCTCAGTCTATATAATGTTGATTCTAATGCATTTTCTAATTTAATTGAATATAGTGTAGTGCCATTCATGATATAGGTAGATATTCAATATCTAAGTAATGTTAGTCCCAATCAATGTATATCATTATGAGTACTTCATCCAATTTCTTAACTCATTTTTTCACTTTGTAATTACATCTTAAATTTTACAAAGAAAAATCAAAATGTAGGTGGGCTTGACCAAATTTTAGAAATGACTGAATGTTCAGTGACTGGAAAAGATTTCAGAATGTTGATTCACCAGAGAACCATGCGGCACATTCAGTCTTTCTGGATATGCTCATCTTACATAGCAATATGTTAATATGTCAGATGAAGTTCAATCTTTCTCACATCTTTTTAGCAGTAATTCTGATATACTGACACAACTTTTCAATCTTCTCTTATGAGGAAGAAAAAATACCGGGAAGTGGGAGACTTCGATTTACCAGACGACATATTTGACACAAACAAAATAGGCTCCGGTTTTACATCCTTCTGCGCATTGGCTGCTTTTCACTGTGTGAGGGTGGAAATCTTTCTGTGGATCCTGGCTCGACTGGAAGGCATTGACCATCTTTCCACAGTTTAAACGATCCTGCTTGCGACACGTTCTGACCAACAAGTACAAATCCAATTAAAATATATAGGAAAATAAAAAAGTATGGGGGAAAAAATAATTTGCGTTACATAACTCAGGTTGGTACTAGTGACAAATTAATATGAAAATATATAATGAGAAAGAGGAAACAGCTAAATAAAATCACATGCAGACAATATAAAATAATTAGGCAATACTTATATTTCTGCTAGTGAATAGACAATATATGCAACACAAGGCATACTTGGATCCAGAAGAAAAATCCGTGAAGGATGTTCAAGCATTTCCCCCGCTTGTATCGGGATCTTTTGACTTTTCTCTCAAAATCTGCACTTCAGAAAAGGAGTTGATGAAACTATAACGCTTAGCAGCACGTATAAAGGAAGCCCAGGGACTATAAAATTGAGGCCACTTGAAAAAAGAAAAATAAGTTAACGCGAACTTAATGAAGTGGATGATCACAACCAGAGCTAAGAAGATGTCAAAGACAAAATATGGAACAACTGTGGAATATATTGTATCTATACGTGTTTTTAAGAAAATCTTGTCCGACCTCAAAACAGACATGATACATCAAAAGGTGAAATTTAAGCCTAAACTTCACATAAAAAAACATCATGAAAATATATCATTGAAGGGAGATAGATAATATATACTGAACTCTTCAACTAACCTGAATAATAAAAATAATAAGACACATCTATGCCTGCTTTCTGAAGCATTTTCAATTCCTCTTTATCAAAAGGTTTTCTCAAATCATCTACGACTTTTTTCCGGAACCCGGTTGTGTGACCGAAGCTCGCATCCTCCTCCATCTTTATATTTAATGACATGAGAAAAAGTAACAACTACTGATAAGCCAGGATGAAGATCAAAGGAACGCATAAAAGAACACACAAAAGTGATTGACAAATCGTTATAAGAAAAAACCCAAAAGAAAAGAACACCTACGCTTTTATGAGACCTCCTTGAAGGTTCAATGGAGCTCAAATTCTTACGAACCCAAGCATCATCGAGAATTTCCAAATCAGTATTGGTTTCACTTTCATCATCTTCAAAATGACTCCAATCACATTTAGTTTTACTAATGTTGGCATACATTTGTTTCATACACGATTTAGCTTCACATTGTCATCCTCAATCTTCGGACACAAGAAAAGCCCACACTCCCCTTGACCCAATTTTCCTACCCGGCTCGCTTTATCCTTTCGGCCCGGTTTCCCTCGGGCACATTCGTGATCCAAATCCTCACTCTTCACCTGAATCTAATGGCTTTTCGTGATACCCTTGAGCGATTTCATAACCCGTCGAGCTCCAAGCCGGCCACTTGCTCGGTTGGGTTCTTGATATATAAGCACGCTATTGTCCACCTCATTCCCAATAAAGTGCCGATTTTTCTTAGCACAATCAATTTCAGTTTTCTCAACACGGGCTTTTGTCTTCATACGAATTTTATCTGGTTTGGATTCCGTGCCGCTTGCACCTTTGCATTTGATGCGAAGAGGAACTGTGTTGGCATTGTGTGATTCGGCCCGACCCAGAATATAGCGCTGCATATGCTCGTAATCCGGGTCCTTGCCCTTCTCCTCCATGATTCTTGTGGTCTGGGCCCCCGACTTTGACCTTTTCACATCATCCAACATATCATAGCTTTAGCAATACTCATCCATGAAACTACTACTGTAAGAAACCCACACTCCCTGCTGTTCACAATTGTAATATATAGGGAAGGTAAACAAGATAAATAATGGAAAACCTATCAAATAATAGCATAGTTTCAACAGATGTGAAGGATGAATTGCGCATCTTGTTCTAAGGCGCATATTCAACTTTATTATAGTTCTGAGCATAAATTGCATCGTGTTCTAAGGTGGAAAAAAGAACCTTTTTCTTCCCGAAGCCTTCATGGTAAACAGCGACAGAGAACGAGCAGGATGAATTTGTTGGAACGACGCCGTTGTCAGGAGTGAAAAAAAAGTCTTTTTTTTTTGGAAACGATAGAATTCATTACTGAAATAGGCTAAATTGCACCAAACTCCCCTGTATTATACTAAATCTGCGATTTATCCCCCTGTAATTTAAAAATTGCGTCAAACCCACTTGTAATGTACTTTTGCATGCACGAAACACCCTAAACCGTCAAAGATGACGGAAGTAGAGTGCACGCGCGTGCTATGTGACTCCTTCTTCATTTTTTGGCCACAGATATTCTTTTTACTACTATAAATAGGCCCAGATGTAAATAATTGGACCCCACTTTAATATAACAATTATTA